TATATTCGAATTCTGGGCAGGCCGGGCACGTTTTGCTTAAAGTTTTGATTGTGGCTACTCCTTATCGGTCGTCTCGTTTCCCTCGGGTTCAGCAGGCAGGCATCTTCTTTGGGACTTCGTCTCTGATTTTTTTCTGGGCAGTTCATTGACTGCACATCTATTGGCAATTTCATGTGTGGCGTACCCTGCTCTTCCAGTGTGCGGATATATACCTTCGGGGATCGGGTCTAATGGGGCACTCAGATCGCTCGGTTGCTGATTCGTAAATGAAAACATAATTGTTGCTGTTGTCGTTAATTGCTAACTGAAAATCTCGGTGAACGAACTAAAAGTTTTGGCTTATTTGGCTAATTGGCTATTGCTGCGGTTGTTGTTGATTGATTTCGTTTTAGTATAAAAATATAAATCGTTTTATAAAAAGTTATTGGTTGCTGTTGCTTATTTGTTTATTTGTTTGTCTGCTTGTTGCATTGTATTGTACTATAAATTATCCCGGTTCGTGCATGGCACGATCGTCTATTGCAAATGAAACTGTGGCATAAAATCTGATTCTCCTGCTTCTTCTTCTGTCAAAATTCAACTATAAACACTTATGGATTAGTTTTGGTATTGGTTTATATGTATATATATTTATATTTGTATTCGATCATGGGTAAATATTCAGTTATATTCAGTGTAAAATTTGAACTCAGGATGGCTTAAGGACTCAACACAAAGAAATATCTCTCTCCTATCGCTTCCTATGTATATATAGCGTATTATTCATTGATATGTGTAGACAACCCAAAAAAAGTTGCTGCTGGAAGTGCTTTGTGCTGTTGTTATTAATGATCTCTTCTTCGTATTGTCTTTTCTAATTGGGCTTGTTGTTGTTCATATTTCGATTTTTCTTTGCTTTTATTTTATTTTTTTCGATTTTTCGCTTTGTATATTTGAGTAAAAATATTTATTGTGGTTGTGGAAAACTGTGAGAGATAAACTCAAAAATATCACATACGAGTTGTGTATGTTTCCCTGGCTATTGTTGGCTGTTAAAACTAAATTGCAAATTCTCCTCTTACATCGCTTCACTGTTATCGGTTACTTAGGTATTTGTTTATCTTTATCGTTGTTTTTATTCGGTTATCGGTTTTTTTTGTGGGGTTTATGCAACTTTTTCTTTATATTTTTATACTTTCTCATGTGCTTTTTGATGTTGTTGTATATATATCAATTTGAATTTGGAATTTCCATGGGCAACGTTCATTGCGGCCGAAATGTTGGGGTTACGTCATAAGCCAAAAGTTTTAACCTCTTCTTCATAAACTTCAAAACCAAGGATGCGTAAGATTGATTCCTGATTGATCAACTGAAAAATGTTAGTAACACTGGTTGCTGTTGCAGAAATTGCAAGAATTTCGATTGTTTAACTAAGTCCATTGGTGCAGGCGCACAGTGCATGCCGAAAGTATGCGCACTGTGCGCTGCTCTATTGCAGTTTGTTTTAAATTAAAGGTGTGGTGCAGTTGTGTGCACCACGGCTTAATCTTCATACTCTCCTCATATCTTCTCTTCGGTCTGATTCTTCCTACGCCAAATAAGTGATAAAAATTTGACTTCCAAACTTTTTGATTTTTTTTGGTGTTTCGATTTTGGGCCAAAAGTTATTGGGAATTTTGAGAATCGCGCTTGCTACTAAAAAAACGCAATTGTTTTTGGAAATATTTCATCGCCGTTTAAATAGATTTTTCGTTTCATTTTTCATTTTTATGTATACCAAAACTGCAAATTTATGTGTATTTTATTTTACTTCTTTCTTTCTGTCTTGTGATCAGATGTTTTCCAAACCAAGGATGTTTAACTAACTTATGGTTACGTTGAAGTTGAAGTTACGAATAGATTTGCTTTGATTTACCATGGAGTATGTACCCTACGTGTTAGTTTGACTGATTTGCTTCAGTGTTTTGTGCGTGTGTGGGCTTGCCAAAGGGGATCTGCTTGATATATATACCGATTTGGGTTTGGCACATGTTCTATCTGTATCCCCCCCTCCTTCCGTCAAACGGAAATCGATTTGCGCGCATTTTCAATGCAGTAAGGCGGTGAGTGAATATTTGCCTGGCTTTGGCCATAATTACCTTTTTCAGGGGCTCTGAGTGGGTCGGGGGTCGCTTATGATTAGACTGTAGTAATATTTTAATTACGTGTATGTAGTTGTATTTAAATGTCGCTATGTACAAATCTGATCAATTTCTGTTATCGGTTTTTTTTCTTTTTTTGGTTTTCATTCGGTAATCAGTAATCGGTAAGTTTGGGTATTTTTCTTTTGGTTTGCTTGGTATTCTGCGGTATTAATGCTTTTAAAATCTAGTTAAAATTGCATATGGCTGCGTCTGCTTTTATATTTGGTAATTGGTTTACGTGTAGTAGGTATATACTTATCTCGCCTCTTATCTAGCTCTCGCTTCCATCGTCTGCCTCGATCACTTGATCGATTCGTATTCGTTATCGGTTTGCGTGCAGTGTTCATATATGGTTTTTAAGTTTAGTATTTGCTGTGCTTCGAGTTCGATTCTCGCTGCTGACCAACACTGGTCACTCGGGTCGCTGATTGGTTGCATTGGCCGGATGTCCGTTTCCGTTTTCCGGCGGTAGTTCACTGTCTGGTTTCCTGCTGCTGCTGCTGCTTCTGCTGCACTTAATCTATATGCTTAGGCTAACTTAGTTCCTTGGTGTAAACTGTACCTGGCGAACCGCGCCTGCAGCTTGGCCAAAAAACGAGGAACGAACTTTCTCTGGCCTATGGCTGAACTGTAATTCTTTTTTGGAATTTCCAAACACCGAAATGTTGCTCTGGAGCTGGAGGAACTTAACTCACTTTTCGGGGGCTTCTCGAAAGGACGGGCCGAAGTCTGGTGGGCGTGGCTGAAGACGGGCACAGCTGCTGGCCGCGGCCGCCAGGTGTCGCACTCGCTTGGTTTGCGTCGCTCGATTAAGATGAATTATGGAGAATTTAGCTTACCCTTCTCGTCTCTGCTCTCCACCGATTAGTTGAGGTTCTTGTGGTGCCTGTGATTGTTGGGTTAAGTGAGGTGTGTGATGGTAGTGGTCGTGTTGTGGTTGCCAATCAGTTCCAATTTTGCGGTGACAAATGCCAAAAGTGCTTCTGACGGAGGTTGGTTGGTTGGTTGGTTGGGGAGAGTTGAACCAAAAATTGGGTGGTTTATAAGCGGCCAAAAAGGTGGGGGATAAATTTTGGTAAAGAAAAATCCAAGCGCCGTCATTTGTGTTTTCTGTTTTCTCAATAAATTTCGCTTTTATTAACCAATTATCGTTCCAGGCGGACCCTTTGCGGCCCGCCCTCTTGACTTGTTGACTTAAGTTTAAGTATGTATGTTTATGTTAGTATAAATGTATGAAATATGTATGTTGCATTAAATATACGCAAGTGTAAGTGTGCTTCTGTGTCATTTGTTGGTACGCAAATATATCGGTTCATTCGCCTTCCTTTTGAGGTAAGAAAAGAAAGCGCTGACTAAAACTGATGGAAACTGAACAGAACAGAAAGGTTTGAGTGAGTTCTTAATTTTTCGTAATTTCGTATTGCTGTTAACTTCCTGAATTTCGACGGTCTAGATACGGCTGCTCCTCGCTATTTTCAAATTTTGCTTAAATATAAAATTTCGCCTAAAGTTTTGTTAGCCAAACGTTTATTGTTAATACGCCTTAAATTGCCTAAATGGTTTTCGTCTCTCAATTTCGCTCGTCTCGCAATTGTCAATTAACTATTTTTACATCAATCAATAATTTCGTATGGAGGGGGGTCCTCCATATTGGTTTTATCCGAAACAATAATGCAGTTAGTTAGATTTTTAGTTTGTTGTTAGTTACTTTTTCTATCACAAAATCAGTTACAATTGTATTTAGATCAATTTCAATTTCATTTTCAAATTTCATTTTCAATTTCATTTTTAAATTTCAACTCCATTGCCAAAAGCCGCTTCCTTCGTAAATTTTGTAAAGGCATTAACAATCAACGCGTCTCTCCTGGGGCCCATAAATCGGACTTAAATTTCGACTTCTGTCTGCTGTGAAGGTGGGTGAAACTTAGGGATAATTTAACTCAACTGGGTAATGCGATAAACATAAACTTCAGATCGTTTAGCGAATGCCTCTGCCTGCCTCTTTTGCTTTGTACGATTCCCTAAATACTAATTTTGCAAATGCATTTTTCATTTTCAATTATCCAAACCTCAATTTCATTTTCACTTTCAATTTCGATTCGAAGAACTCACGTTTCTTCCACTCGATCTCGCTTTTGGATTAGGAAACTCACCGTCTTATACGCGACTAATTTTGTCATAGTTACGCCAAAGTGCAATCAAATTTTGCTCAGATTCCCCAAGGGAACTCTGGTTAAGCCTAAAAAACTCTCTTAGTTCGTTTCAATTTAGTTTTAGCTAAAATTCAACTATTGTTCAATAATTTCGTGATCATTGGTGTGGCCGAAAGGTTTGCTGGGGTGCGATCTCGTCTGCTCCTTATAGCGGTGTTTCCATCCAATATAATATAAACTCCCACCAGAGGGCGCTAGGGTGCGGGGCTGGCTAACTTAGTAACTGACTAACTGACTGACTAACTGGCTGGCTGATGGAGCTCCTCGGAGCAATTGTTGGGCCGAAATGATGGATTTCGCTTCGTTCGTTTCGTTCGAGGAATATGATTTTGTCTGTGCCAAATATTCAAATGTTTTGCATGCAGTTGATGATGTTGTTGCTGTTGTCGCGTTGCAGCTGCAATTGAAAATGAGATATTGCAACTGCAGGAACAACAGGGTTTGCCCGCCCCTGGCCCAAAATACGCCGGACGGAGAGCAGGCAAACATATCCCTCTAAACCCGCCCACTTTCCATGCTTTGTCTGCTGTGCTGATGAGTGAGAAGTGCATGATCAATACCAGCCAGCCAGATATCGGGTATTATAATATAGGTATTTCAAAAACAAGGGAAATAAAAAACGATATTTTTAATTGGTATTTTTGGTGTTTCGTGTATATTTTGTTTTGTTGCAACTCAAGGCCAAGTAAAGTAAATTAATTAAACTAAACGTTAACTTAACTAAACGTATAAATTATTTACATAAATAACAGACTAGTGTGTGTGTGTGTGTGTTTTTGTGATGTGTTATGTGTATATGTTGATTATTCTATAAAATTAAGATGCGTGCTCAAAAGTGGGGCACTAAAGTATAAGAATTGATTAAAAATAACCGTATTCAAGGGATTCATGTTAACAATTAACTTTGGTCGAAGGTTCGCATAACGTATTGTAAATTATAAATTTAACTACCCTAACGCCCGCTGCTCGTACAAATAACTCTGGCTCTCTCATTAAAAATCTAAATAGTTTTCGCAATTACTTAACTTTTTTTTTGGTAATTTTTTTTGCTTTTAGTTTCGCTTAATAGACATCGAATATATGCTTAGCGCTTAAAGGGGGGTTAAGGGGATATAGCAACCTTAGCTTTTGGGTGATTTTTAAGATTATCTCCCGATTTCCGGCTTTCATAGCAGCTACTGCTTTTGTAAAGCAGTGCGCCACTGGGCTGGGGGAACTGCTTACCGGAAAGTCGGTCGGCCAAGCAGTGCGGAGAAATCCACTTCCTGTTTGGCTAAGCGACTTTCGCTCTCTCAAATGAACACACACTTTGTACCGATGTGGGTGTGTGTGTGTGCGTGGAATGCGTGTGGTTATTGTGTTTGTGTTTTCTTTTTTTTTTGTGGAATGTGTGTCAACTTTCGGTAGATCATTAGACGGCTCAACTATTTGTTAAATATTCATACGTATACGTAATCTGCTGTAAATATTTTTAAAAAAATTTCAACTAACAAACCAACGGCGAGTACAGTTTACACTGCCTGTAAATTACGCTCGGTGTGTGGGTGTTCTCAGGTGTGTGGCTCAGGTTTTCTTTCAATTTGCACTATTTCACATTAGATTAAGACTTGCTGCTCTATGTTTAGTTTTGGTTTTGTTCAATCGGCCTGGGAGATGAGGATCTCCCTGGCCCACATTTTCTTCCTATTCTTGTCGCTCTTTTGCTGAGGTTTATGTGTGAGTTTATATTGTGTGTGGTTTTTGGAAATTTTTGAAAAAATATTTTGCTCAGTGTGTTTGTTTTCTAAACGCGTTTTCGAGTCGTGTGTGTGTGTGTTTGTCTGCAAATCTCTCAGCTATGTCTAAGTTCCTTTTGCTGTGTGTGGATACTGTTTGTTCATTTTTGGCTGGGGAGTTGGTCATATCCAGTCGTGTTTCCTGCGCAGGTTTAGCCTTTTAGCTTTGGCCTGCGCCGCGCCTTCGGATGGCTGCTGCCGGCCCTGGAGTTGGTGGTCGTAGTGCTGCTGCAGGTGGTGGTGGAGGCCGGACTGATGGGCGGTGGCATTCCCAGCGGGTGCGGCAGCGGCAGCGTCGGCAGCGCCAACTCCTCCACTTATTCCAGCTGCTCTAAAAAATTGGGCGACTTGAAGTACTCGGGCACGGGATCGTCCATTCGCGAGATGATCTTGTATATGGACTTCTTCCACGACTGCTCGGTGTCTTTGCCACCCTGTATTGCACGGAAGAACTCCCGCAGAGTCGATTCGACCACGAAGCGGAAATTCTGGGGTACCTGTGGACCGATTTGTTCTCGATTAGCGACTGGCTCCCAAAGGGGTTTCATCTTCTGGTTTCATCTGGTTAGTGGTTCGGTGGTTCTAACGCTCGCATCCACACACACTTTTTGAACAATTCTGGGAGTGTGTGTGCATGTGGAGTCGGTTTACGGGTTATGGGGGCTAGTGTTAGTGTTAGTGGGTGTGGGCGTGGTTATTGGCATACCTCAATGTGGTTATTGCGATTGTAGTGCAAATTGAGCACGCGATACAATTCACTATCTCCAGCAATCAACAGATCATCGGGTGTCTTGATGCCTTCGGTGACAGCTTGTCGTGCATATTTCTCCATTTGTATGTAGTAGAATTCTCTGCAGATGCGTAGATGAGGAATGTTTGGTTTGGTCAGTATTCTGTTTTTTTTTTATTCTATTCTATTTATATTTTTTGTTCAGCATTCAAATTTACAAAATCGCAACGCAAATGAAAGAATAATCAAGGTTCGAACCAAGGCGAGAGGTGGGAAAACAAAGGAGGAAAGTCGTAAAGTGGTAAACCAAATTCAAAGGAAATCGCTAATGCTTCGCTCGCTTGCTCTCTCTCACTCACTCACTCATTCACTCATTCGTGCTAGCTCGCTCACTCTGTTCCTAGGGGGTCCCTTAATGCATTATATTGGATAGCTGTTTGAGTATGACATTATTAATAATTCGCTGCATACTCTTAGGCGCGCCATGTATATGTCTGTGTGTGTGTGTGTGAGAGTGTGTAAAGAATTTTTAATAAATCTCAAATGTGCAGCAGCAGCTCGTGGTGGTGCAATAACAATTGCAAGTCGAGGCGGCATCTTCTAGCTGCTGCGGTTTTTTTTTATCCCAGCACTGCCTTGGGGGTTGGGGATTTAATTAGCAAGTGCAGCGGGCTGCTGCTGCTGCGTCGCCTTGTTTAGTCAAGTGATTTGTGTGCGGGCTGCCATTCGCAGGGGGATACGCCGAGGATATGGCTGGGGGATAGGACATGGGGGTGTATGCTTTACTTGGCAACTGTAAGTGATTGCTTGTCTTCCGGCCTGACTGTCTCTTCCCCTTCTCCTCCTCCTCATCTCACGGATCCTGCATTGTCTGCCGCGCACTAATTGTTGTCTTTTTGCCGGGAATCCTTTGGAGTCTCTCCCCCCTCCACCCCCCATTGCCCCCCCCCTCTTGACAACGCTCCGATAATCGCGCTAATTTTAAGATTTCCCAGTAGCAGCACCAAATGCATTTCTCATGTTGTGCCACAGCGCTCGTGTTGATTTTCCAAACAATAAGCGCAGAATGCGCAAATAGAAAATCTTTTCCTTCTGCCCATAGCCCCGCCCCCTTTGCGGCTCCCCGGAGGCGGCGGCACTTGAACAGCGGGGGGGTGGTTGGGTGGTTTTGGATGGCTTCATAATGAGGCTGATGGCTTGGCCTGGCCGAAAGAAAGGAATCGCTGTGTGACAGTTTTGTGTGACAGTTCATTGTGCCGGGTGTCCATAGTTATTAGGGTTTGTCAGGATCTCAACCCCGCTCCGTTTGGTTTGGTTTGGTTTGGTTTGAATTGCAATTAGCTTTGTGGCTGGCGTGAAAAGGAGCTTGAGGCGATCCTTATGCAACCACATGTGCAGGCAGGAAAAGGAAGCTTGGCTTGGCGGTTTCAAATGCGCCACTTAATTTAGATAATAAGCCGTGCAAGTGGAACTGCAGATGTGCAGATGCAATGGCGTTGGGGCTTGACGGAAGTGCTAATTAGTTTGCATATAATATTTCGTAGCCTATTTATTTGGGTCTCACCCACACACACGCACAAGAAGAGAGAAAGAGGGAGGCAGGGACAGAGAGAGGGAGAGGGAGAAAGAGCAGGGGAGAGCCACTAAAACACTTGTTGAAAGGCAGGCAGGCGTTGCTTTGTCAAGTGCATTCATATCTCACCCACGCCGCTCTCTTCTTCCCTCTCTCCTTCCCTCTCTACCACTCTCTCTCTCATATCGCTTGAGTGTGTGCGTGGCAGTGTGCTTTTGTGTGCGTTTTTTGTTCGTGTGTATGCGTGTGTCTCCTTCTTCGCTGCACCTTCTTCTTCTTCACTTCCTCCGCAATAATTTACGTATCACGGATTACGGTTACGAATACGAACGAGTAGAATGTTATTAATAAGCTCACACATACTCACCCACACATATGCAGACATCTCTACCTCATACATTAATGAAGTAATTGGCAACACTTTTGCATTGTATCTATATATAAGCATCTGTACAAGTCATATACGTCTATATACATATACAGAATGGAGCGTGTATCGTATCTGAGTGTCTGAGAGTGTCTGTGTGTGTGTGCGTGGCATTTGTGAGTGTGTGCGTTTATATAAATGTAACTGTTGCTGTTGCTTTTGTTTTTGTTGTTGTTGTTGTTGTCAGCAAGATCTTTTCACACGACGAAGGATTGGGAAAGAGCGGGAAAAGCTGGGAAGCTGCTCTAAGCGCCAAAAGGACACTTAACCTCAAAAAAAAGGAAAGCGGCTCAATGAGAAACAAAACACGGAAAAAGAACAGCGTGTATGTGGGTGTAAGTGAGTGGTTGAGCATGTGTGTGGGGCGTATCCTTGAGCGCCTTTTGCCAGTAGGGCCCTGGCCATTGTGCTCGGAACTCTCAAGTAGCTGCCGCCATGAAAGGCGGCCAAAGAAACCCACTGAATGTATCCTGGCAAACAAACTAATTAGCCCGCCAGGAGTCTGAGTGTCAGTGTATATATATATACATATGTGTGTGTGTGTGAATGCATGTCCTTTGCCGCTTTCTTTTCATTATTTGCATTTTGGCGAGCACAAAAAGAAGTTACTGCAGCTAATGCAATTATATAAGTGGCCTGCTTGAGGACCTCGAACAAAAGGCACTTTTGTTAATTAGCAAACACACAAACACACACACACATGTGCCAAGTGGGGAGGGGGCTGAGTGTGTGTGTTAGTGGGTGGGGCCCACTTAAGTAGGAAACACTTTTTAATATGCCAGCGCCACAAGTTTCTTGGCCTCGCTCTCCGCTATTTTCACACTTGAATCTCCATCTCGAGTGGCAACTCATCATCGTGGCGCTCATCCTCCGGTCTCTCCAACTCATCTTCAGCGGGATCCTAAACGGGGGACCTAACCCCTTGCATTTTTCTTAAGTGGCCACTTTCAGCAACATGTTATTAGAGCACTCAGCCCCAGTATCTGTGTACGGTTCTGTGTTCTATATGTGTGTGTCTCTGTGAGTGTGGGAAACTCATAATATTAACTAGTGGCTAAGAGAGAGCAAAAAGCTGTTACAAGTATTCATTTCCTAGGTTAATTTAGGGGGAAAACGATTAAGAAGGGAAAGCATTTCCCCGAGAACAAAAAGGAAACCGAAATCAAACTAAAAAAACTCAATGTGAGAAAGGAAAGCAAATAACCGTTACATCCATGCTACCCCTAAGAAAAAGGAAACAAACAATCGAGAACCAGTTAGGAAATCAAAAAATATTCCCACCCATTTTAACCTCTTAGCAAAAGAAGTCGAAGTCGAGGGCAAAGACAAGATGCCAACTCCCCGATTCCCATGCAAAGTAGGGTTTCAAATCGAAAGGGATTGCAACCCCAAGAAATCCCCTTGCCATCGAAAATTCCGGCAAACTAACGAACGACAAACCCCGAGCGTGCCGGGTCTTGATTTGTTGTCTTTTGTGTTTGCTTGTGCGCAGGTAGGGGAATTTCTTAGGGTGTCTCGCGGACAATTCCTTAAGACGTTGCGCATGTCTTAGACAAATCGGAGACGGGCAGCTGCTAAGCCGTCGATGAAAGAGGGTTGCAAGGTAAATCCAGGTGAGACCTTGTGCCACGCTCTATGTTTTCTGCTTTCTGTTCTCTGTTTTCTTTTACTATTTTTTCGGGGCGGACAGATGCGGCCCGGATTTGGCGCGCAAATCACGGCGACTGCATGCGGGCCTACCTCACTTCACTTTAGTTATGTTCCATTCAGAATACCCCATCTCCGTACTTGGAATAACCCGGACTATCTGGCAGCTGTCGTTTTTCCGCAGTCTTTGTGCACTTTTTGGCAACTTCTTGCGCAATTTAACGGACTGACAGTTGGAGTCGCGGAATGACAGCCGAATGGTGTTGCATGTCCCTGCGACTACTTCTTGAGTGCAAGTCGAGTGTTTCGACAGGTGGCAGTCTCATTTTTGGGCAATCAATTTGTTACGAAAACCCACCCACCATCCCCCCCTCTCGAGAAAACTTAAAAGTCGAAAATCAGGCGACGAAACGAAATTATAAAAATGAATGCTGCTGAATGGTTAATATATATGCTGGCTTAGGTCTAAGATTGTTAATTGCACAACTTACCGGAAGTTCGAGAACCATTTCACCAATTGTGCTGTGTTGTTCTTGTTGAACTTGATGTCCGGGAAGTACATCTTGAGCACCGCGGAACTGGGGTAGCGCACCCAGAAGAACATCAGCTTGGCCTTGCGCAGGTGCATCGGTGTCAATGTAGAAGAGTGCAAAGGAGTCAAGGATTCGCAATGTCTGGTGGCGTTATAGATATATGGTATATGTAAGAGATTTGTGTCGGATAGATGGTCGATTGTCTTTCCAAATTTCCATGTTCGTGTGTGGCAGAGCGAGATAGAGATTCGATTGGATTGGCAATGTCTAACGTGGCTGCACTTTCGAGTGCCAATAATGAATGTCTAAGGGTGCCACCGACCGAACCCCCACATTTTCCTCCTTCAACCCACTGATTGAAAACGCTGAGCTGGGCTGAGAATCGGAATCGGAATCGGATGGGGAATCGGAAGGGGAATCGGAAGGGGGAATCGGAATGGGGAATTCGGAATGGGGATTCGGAATGGGGGTTAGTAAGAGGCCAACGAGTGCAGCTCTTTCGATTGGCTGCTCGTCATTGATTTTTTCCATTTCTGTGGCTGTTGCGAAATGCAACTCAAGCCAGGCCAAGTCGATGATGATGATGACTTAAGGGTCTTTGGGGGCTTAAGTGTACGGCGGGGCAATAAATAAGGTTTTGATTACATTTTATAAAAGAATTTAGTTGGGAAATAAATAAACTGAAGAAGACACTTGATTGGTTTCGTTTTGTAAGCGAGGTCCGGGTCGGGTTAAGCACCTGGCCCCAGTTTTCTCTATACCCTATGCCCCCCATGGTAAATCTTTCTTTCCCTCTTTCTCTGCTGCACACGGTGGACTAGGTGGAAACTCACTTGGCCATCAGCGACTCCTGTTGTTCTGATTTGAGTTGCATTTGCTTGTAAAAGGATATAGTAGGAGCCATGCCGTCGAACTGCATGTCGGCCGAGTTGCACTCGGACTGGCGATCCTGGGCGTCCATGACGGCCCGCAGGCAGGTCTTGTAGTCCGGCGATCCGCCATGGTGGGCGGCGGCCAGCAGGGCGGGATGGAGCATCGACGGCGGGTGGGGCAGCGGCGGCGAGTCGCGCGAGTCCATCAGGGCGCCCAAACTGCCCGGCGGACTCGAGGACAACTGCATGGGCTGGTGGTGCGGGTGGTGCTGCTGGTGGTGCTGGTGCAACTGGGCGGCCGTGGGCTGGCCGGCGGCTGCGTGCGGATTGAAGAACGGCGAGTACGGCGAGAAGACCTTGGACTCGTGCAGCGAGGGATTGGGAATGGCCACGGAGGTGGGCAAGGACACGGGCATCATGGGTGGTGGTGGTGGCGGCGGCTGTGGGTGGTACGTCGGTCCTCCGCTGCTCCTCGTCGGACTTTGTGCGGGCGTGGCATTGCTGTTGCCGCCGTTCGACGCCTGTTGCTGTTGTTGTTGCTGTTGCTGCTGTTGCTGCTGCTGCTGCTGTTGCTGCTGCTGGGGCGTAGTCGGAGGTCCACCGTTGGGCGGCACCACGCCATCCTGGGCCAGGATTCGGCTCACGGTTCGTGGGGTGATGCGCGTGTCGGTCACCTTGTGGCGCTTCTTCTTCGGGGTCACCACCAAGCTGAGGGCCTCGTTCTGCTCCAGCTGCTGCTGCGTCTGCTGCGAGCTCTGCTGCTGCTGCTGCTGGGCGGACTGTTGCTGCTGGGCCGACTGCTGCTGCTGCTGCTGATCGGGCGGCAGGCAGAAGGGTCCGGTCATCGAGTTGTACAGAGCGGCGGCGGCCACCGGATTCATGCCCTGCGGCGTTTTGGGCGCCTGGAACATTGTAGCCGCTGTGGGCGAAGGACGAATGTGAGGAGGCGGTATATTAAGGGTACTTAAGCTACTGTTAGTGGGGTTCGATGGCCCGCTGTTTGGGTTAGTATTCGCGCCGGGATCCCCCGACTGTTGCTGCTGCTGCTGCTGCTGGGCGGACATTGCTGCTGCTGCGGCGGCATGGTGCATCTGCAGACCCATGGCAGCGGCTGCAGCAGCGGCGGGCGAGGCGAAGGATAACTGGCTGCCATTTAGGCGGGGGGCCGAGATCAGCTGTTGGCAGTTGGGCGGCAACAAAGGATGCGATTGCTGCTGTTGCTGCTGCTGCTGCAAATGCTGTTGTTGCGCCACATTCGGCTGCTGCGGCTGCTGTTGCTGCTGCTGCGATACCTGATGTTGCTGCTGTGCATTCTGCTGTTGCTGTTGCTGCTGCCCACTCGACCCACTCGCGGGCGTTTGGGAGGGCATTTGACTATTAGCTAGGAGTAGTGAACCATTATTACCTGATTGTGATGCGGGCGTGGGTCCGTTCTGGGGCCTGTCCGCCACCTTGGTGCGCGGCGATTTCCGGTCGAGGATCTGCGAAGCGAGCAGCAGGTCCTTGTTCAGCTGCTCGGCCGCCGCGGTCACGGAGTCCGCCTGCTTGCTGAACAGCCGCCGCTGGTGGACGAAGCGGGTCACAATGGTGTCCACCAGGGCGGACAGCGAGGTGGTGATCTCGGACTTGAGCACATCGGCGAGTCCTTCCAAGTCCGTTCCGGACATGCGCATCATCGAGCTGTTGTTGTTGGCGCGCAGCATTTGGAATTTTTCGGACAGCTCCGACTTGAGGGCGGTGTGGCCAGCAGCCCCGCCCATTCGTGTGGGCAGGCGGGCGGGTGCCGGATGGTGCATCTGCGGTCTTGGGGCTGCGGTGGCCACATGTTGCTGCTCCATTTGCTGCTGTTGCAGTTGTTGCAAGTGCTGTTGTTGGCGCTGGATCTGCTGTTGTTGCTCCTCCTTGCGTCGCTGTTGTTCTTGTTGCTCCTGCTCGAAGCGACGTTGCTGCTCCTGCTGCTGTTGTTGCTGTTGCTGCTGCTGTTGTTGCTGCTGCTGCTGTTGTTGCTGTTGCTGCTGCTGCTGCTCAGCGGCTTCCTTGGCCATGCGCGCCTCCTGTTCAAAGAAGAACTGCTGGTACATGGCGGCCGCATGCGACATATCACCCATGTGCTGCAGGATCGGTGGGAATCCCTGCGGCAGGGCAGGATGCCCCACGCCCACCAGCGGATTGTGCAACTTGCCGGACATCATCTTGCTCATCATCTGGGACAGCATGTTGGCACCGGAGTCACTACTCTCGCCGAGCGCCGTCTTGGGCTTCAGAGGCGATGGTGAGGGCGAACTGGAACCGGGTCGCTCCTGGCCCGCCTCCTCCTTGTGGGCGGGACTCACATCCCCGTCACCAGTTAAAGTGGGCGAGGGCGACAACTCAATGTGATCGCTGCTTCCGTTGTCCGGTTCCTGCTCCTGCTCGGCATCCTGATCCTGGTCAAGTTCCTGGCACTCGGATTCCTGCTCCATGCGCGAACACAGCTGCACATATTTCTGCTGCATCTCCGCCAGTTGCTCTTGCATGGATCGCAGCTGTGACTTGAGGGCGTTCTTCTCCACTCGCTTTTGTTGGATTTGCGGGGACTCCAGCTCGTTGGATTCACTGTCCTCCTGGTCGAGCATCATGCTCTGGAGGTTGAGGCCGAAATTCAGGCCAGCTGCGGCGGCCACATAGCGCTCCATGGCGTGTTGTTGCGGCTGGTAGAGTTTGCGCTTCTTGCAACCATTCACCTGGAGTTGTCCGGCTTGCACTAGTCCAGAAGATGGACTGCATCGCATTCCCGAGACGATGTTTTCGACGCGAGCGCGTTTTAGCTCCATGCCCGGTTTCTTGAGGCACCCACTGCTGGACTCCCGTTTCTGTTCCACGCAATCATCGTCGTCGTCCTCGTCCAGGACATCGTCCTTGCTGTTGTCCAGCAGCATCATGTCCGAGTGACTGGGCGAGGCGAGGCTCTCCAGATCGGATCCACGGGAATGCAGACCCAGCAGTTCCACCTCATCCAGCATGTCGTCCACGGATTCCTTTTTGGTCGGCAGCTGTGTCACCTCGGGGGCACGACTCTCGGATATCCGGCGATTGGCCGTGGCATCCTCCTCGTCCTGCGCCTCATCGTGCGCCCCATGACTGTCCAGGGAGTCGGAGGACTTGCGCCGCAGACTGCCATCGCTGGCCAGGCTGCTGTGGCTACCAGTGCCACTCCCACTCCGGCTGCTGTGACTGCTGCCATGCGGCGATTGCTGCGGAGGCGGAGCCGTCTGGGGCTCACTCTTGATCTTGATGTCCGCCATTTCCGAATCGTCGATCAGATTGATGCTCTCCATGGTGTTGTTGTTATTGTTGGCGGTGGCAGCAATATTGTTGTTATTATTATTGAGCTTGGAGTGCAGTTGCTCCTTTTCCTGCAGTTGCTGTTGCTGCTGCTGTTGCATGGCAGTGCGCAACTCCTGATCCAGTTGCATCAGCTCCTTCTTGCCCTGCAGAATATTGCGCAGCATGTGATGGGCCACCAGATCGTGTTGCAACTGCGACTGGTGCTGCTCCCCACTGGCACCGCTGGCTCCTCCATTCAAAGAACTCACGGATGCTGCTCGTGGCGGTGAGCCACCGGCAACATCTGCTGCTGCCGCTTCCAAGGAGCGATCACTGCACGCGGACACTCGGCGACTTCCCTTCGGCGATACGCCCTGATGCGAGTGACTTGAGCTGTGGGCCGATCCTGGCGAGATCGAGGCATTTGTGCCATTACTCAACGGCGTATTGTTCGCGGGAGCAATGCTGTTGTTGTTGTGCTGCTGCTGCAGCAACTTGGACGTGGAATTGAGACTGCCGATCAGCAATTCGGCACTGGTGGCCGTCTCCATGGCGGCGGCCAGCATGGCGTTGTCCAAACTCTGGGGCAGGCCACTCGTTGCGTCCTGGGCCTGCTTCATCTGGCGGCCGAACAGCTCGTTCAGCATCTTGGCCGAGGAGCCACCAAACAGGTTGCCAAAAGCGGCCGTCAACAAGGACGAGGCCGAACTGGCGCCCGATACCGGTGAGTTGCTCGTGGGCGAATGGGTGGACACGGCAGCAGCCGGTGTGCTCGAATTATTATTGTTGTTGTTGTTGTTGGCCGTGCTGACCGATTGTGGTTGGAACAGGGCTCCTCCACCAGCGGCACCCGCAGCAGCCGCGGCAGCGCTACTCATGAAGCCAGCAGCGGTTGCCGTTGCTCCGCCGTTGCTGCTATTGCTGTTGCTGTTGCTATTACTGATCGATTGCTGATTGTTAATGTCTTTGCTCAAGGATCTTTGACGCGAACGACGATTCACTTTACTAGTCGCGTTACCGTTTCCGTTTCCGCTACCGTTTGTATTCACGTTCGCGCTTACGTTTACGTTCGAATTCTTGGCTGTTGGCGAGGGCGCTAGTGTTGCTGTTGGTTTTTTAGCCGCGCACGTTGTTGTCTTGCCGACGGCCGTTGACTGACTGATTTGCCGACTACTGCGGGCGCTGCGATGACTGCGACTGCCGCCACTGCGATTACAATTGTTCGCCGTCGTCGTTGCCGCTGCCTTGTGGTTGTTGCTGCTGGCGTTGCTGTTGCTGCTGTTGCTGCTGCTGCTGGCGTTGCCTTCGCAGCCTTCGAGCACGACCACGACGTCGTCGTCGGAATCGTCGGACTCGGGCTCGTCGTCGTTTGCCTTCTCCTTCGCCTTCTCTCTCTCTTGCTCCTTGTCTGTGTCTGTATTGGTGTTGCTGTTGCTGCTTGTATGGGTATTAGTCTTGGTCCTCTCGCCGCAATTCGCCGCGCTGACGTCGCCGTTGATTTGTAAAGGTATTGGTGACGTGTGGCCGTTGCTGCTCGGCGGTGGTTGCTGTTGCTGTTGCTGATGTTGCAGCTTGGTGACCGTTGTTGTCTCCGGCTCGGTTGCTTTCAGCAGCACGTTGTTCTCATCGCTGTACAAACCAAAACAGTCCCCCTCGTACTCCTCTGATGACATCATAAGATGATGCCCACCAGCAGCAGCAGCTCTCTCGCCTCACGTCTCTCAGCTCTTAGCTCTTGGCTCTCAATGCTTTCCCTGCTTTCCCTGCCTTCTCCGCTTTCCCCTCAGCAACCCAGCTGGCACCCTTTTGCGTTTCCTCGGATTGGCTGGCTTTTCCCCTGCGCTTCCGCAATGAGAGAGCGAGATTTCGCCGCGGCGTATGCGTGATTTCAAGTTTAAGTCCTGGCTGCGGCTTTTCCTTGGGCCGCTTTCTAAGCCAAAGTAATTTGTTGTATCCCTGTCCGTTTGTGAGTCCTAGTCCGTGTGAGACGAAGGGGCTGTGGCTATCGATGTGTGCTGCTGCGCTTTCAAAACCGCTCGCTCCTGCAATCCTGGCTGCCTGGCCGCGATGTCCTTGCTGCTGTTGCTGCTGTGTTGTAGTGCGCCAAACGTTGAAATTTTGCTGTCGCCCAACTTTTTGGTCGAAATGTTCCAGTTCAAAATTCTTCCCGCTGTTGACAGTTTGTTGCTGCTGTTGCTGCTGGCACTCTTGATTTTGTGTCTGCGTTTTCTACGTTTTTTCCTGCGTTTTCTAATTGTGAATTTTGTTTTGAATTTTCTTTCCACCACCACACACATGCGAATGTCCTTTGCATTTAATTTTATTTAGATTTGATTTGTATTTCCCTTCGTTTTACTCCCGTTCTCGTTCTCCAGGTCTTTTCTACTCCTTTCCAGTTTGTTTTCTTTCGCTTTGATTCGATTCTCAAAAGTGTATTTTCGATGCTCTGCCCGAAAACTTGCGAATGGATTTTGAGATATTTCTTTCTCGTTTTTCGTTTTTTGTCGATTTTTTGTCGTTTTGGGTTTTAGTTGGTTTGGCTTGGTTTTCGTTTTAATAATCCTTGCTTGCGCTCAAAAAATCTTTCTGTAAAATTAATAGGAGGCGTAAGTTGGAATATCTGCTGTGGAAAAATGGGACTGAGACTGGGGCGAGTGTTTAAATGGAAAGTAAAAGTGGCTGGCCCAAAGCTTCTGGTTTGGGTGGCCACTTGATTGGTGCTCGGTTTGGGGCTGTCCAGGGGATGGCTGTTAGATCCTGTGAGGCTGTGGTGGGTGGGTTGTCAGGGTGGTGTCCTTAATTCAGCGCAACCCAAGAGCCCAACAACCCTCCCACCCTAGACAGGTTTTTATCTAATTTCTCCACTTGAGCTTATTCTCTGCTTGTCTGTCTGTGTGACTGGGGGGGTGAGTCGGTGTGTGTACCCGCCCCTTTCTGTTTTTGTACAAAATAAAGATAAGTCACTTCGTTTTCGCTGATAAACAAGTTTGACTTACTTTCCTCTGCCACAGATACAGATACAGACACGTAGATACTTTGCATATGGCCATGGGTCGAATGCGTAAGCACTCGAAATAATCAATACGGGGACTTTGGAGCTCGCCAAATGCGTCAAAGCATCGACAATCGATCACACTTGGTGTGTGTGTGTCTTTGGCTGTATGTATTTGAAACGTTAGTGTCTAGGGGCCATATGCAATTCCCAAGAACCACCAGAACAGAATCCTCCCCTTTGGCAGGCCGGGCTGTCGACTTTCGGGCCCTTCGATTTCAATTGCGAGTGCAATGGAATGCAGCCCGTAGGCCCAAGTCAATGTCAACGGAAGCCACCCCTCCGTTCTTCGATCCTTTTTTGGGCAACTGTACTTTCTCGGGCCTGCAGCTTGCAAGGACAACCCGGAGGGACAAGAAGGGAAGCAAAGAGGGTGAAGAGGCAGCGGGGAATGAGACGGGCACAGCCACCCCTATGCAGGACTTATTAAGTTGGGCTTGGTCTAGAGGAGGGCCAGGGCATTCCTATGCACAGCAGATCGGGATATTGAAATTGTCAAAATTACCACAAACAAAGCGTTATTTTTCTCTGTCGTCCATCATAGATCCTCCTGCAATAGAAAAATAATTTGGGTTTGTTAGCGAATCGGCAGGAAAGAATTAAAAGTATTTTAGCCAAATCTATTATAAGATTAAATATTATATTATTTTATAAGTAAAGGTGAAAGAGTAAAAAATTGTCTTAAGTTTCAGTTAGTTGTCGTGGTAACAAAATACTTAACAAAAGTATATTTAAAGAGTAAAATAAAAATGGATTTATTTACTGTTCACGATTTTAGAAAACCTTTGGGTTTCAGTAAGTATACTTTCATTGAAGAACATTGTTTCTTGGATCTTTACAAATTACATACTCTTAGAGCTAGGCTCTATTATCTGTTTAAACCATCTGATACGTAGATGAGGCCCACGTGCCCGTATACTTAAATCGAAGAAAACTACTTAATTGCCTCGTTATGTCTGCAACCTTTCCTTGAGGAACGCTTTCCTAAGATACTTTTGTACTGTTGCAATAGACAGTTGGCATTTCCAAGTTCAATGCACCTCGGGACTTGGGTTGGCTTGGTCTAGGAGCGCTATCAATGGGCTAAGGCCCTTCTAACTTCAACCCCGCGAGGAGCGCATAGAGGGCAACATATGGCGCTGGCCGACGAGAAGAAAGGAGAACAAGGAGCAAAGAAAGTTGCCAGCTGAGGCGAACTTCCACCTACAAACGGCAGCGCAGATAATTACGACCTTAACACATTTTCCGTTCATGTTTCGATGGAAAACGCTGGCTTCGGATACTTTGCATGCGCTGGAAATGAGGGAGGCGCCGGGTTTTCGGATGGGGGCAGTGTCGGGGCATGTGTATCTCAAAGTGTGCTTTGGAATGTGCCTTCACAGATCGCGGCACACGGTAATGTACTCATCGCACAAGCGACCGAAGTGTGGCACGGCCATGTGCTCTGTTCTGTGTGTTCTGTATGCTCTGCACATCCCTCTCCTTCTCGTGGTCGGGTGTCATCATTAAAATATGCTTTGGCTCATAAAGGGCCCACGGGGGGAGTTGGAATTGTGTTACGGTCAAGTGACTCTAAAATCCGTTAAAACAAAAAACTGTCCCAAAAAAACCGAACTAGTGGCAATTAGGCATTATGACTCCGCTTCAAAGATCCATTTTGCCAGATTAAACAGCAATCTGGTGAGCTGAGATTCGCTGGAATTGGGAAATGCGCAAATGGTGGGGGAAATCACGAAGAGCAATGCGAAACCTCGACGGAATCTGCAGCCCCTATACCAATACGGATGCGGAAGGAAACGATCGCCACAGCCAACAGCTGATGATCGCAAACGATTGCTTGGAACCAAGGGGAGTTTTGGTACACTGAGGATTATCGGGTGGCTAAAATGTACTTTGTATCTTAACTTTCATGATGAAATTTTATCTTCTTTTTATTTTAAAATCGGACTCTAAACTGGTTTACTTTGTCAATTAAAACGCATAGCTTTTTGAAGTCTTAACTCAAATTTATAGATTCGATTTTGGGTCAAAAAAATATTTGATATTAATTTGTTAATTAATATAAATGTTAATTTTCTATAATTGATAATTGATACTGATAAGAGTTAATTAAAAAATTGGTTCGGCATAGTACAATTTGGTAAAAAAAAAATTAAAAATGTCGAATTTATTTACAAACAAGAAAACAGGAAACTTATTATAGAAAACCGTAATAGTTTTTTTTCGAGTGCACAGGTTATGGTTATGGCACGTACTTGGCAGCCACGAGCGAGGAACGATGATCGGAGCACACCTGGACTCACTGTCTATGCCTCAATGCGCGTGCGCACAAGCTGGCGATCGCCGGGGGAAGGAGATGGAGGTGGGGGTTGAGGATGAGAAGGAGGATGAGGATGAGGATGAGGTGCAGGGGCAGAAGGAGTCGAGGAGGAAAAGAAGCGAAGCCAGGCAGACGGAACCAAAGGGGCGTGCTCGGTGGTGGCAGTTGACATTTATACAGTCGGGAACCGATTTTTACCTGATCCCATTGCTATTTGCCTAACGGGTGGTGCGGAAGTCGTCCGAAGTCGACGACATCAATAAAGTTCAGAAACACCTTTCAACTTGTTTTGGCATTCATTGCCAATGCAGTTGCAGTTGCCAGTTCTAATCCTGCCACAAGCACATTAAAATTATGTTGCCGCAAAGTTTGCTGGCAGTCGTTTCCACGAGAATTGGCAGCAACTTTGTGAAGCGAATTGTGCTAAAAGAAAATGTCCTTCTCTGCCTTCTCCAACAACTGTCTCAAACAGAGATTTTATGCGAAAAGTTTGCTCTAAACTTGCCAAAAGGTCCTTCTGGCGGGATTGCAATGCAGTAAACTCGAATTATTATGATGTCAGCCCAGCCTCAGTTATTGTTATGGCCACTGTTGGTTTTCGGGGCAAAGAGTTGGAGTATGAGGTGCACGCTCCTTGGCTAAGCCCTCGACTCCCAGATAAGATACAGATACATCGTACATGGAAACACTCTCACAGATATCGGCGTTTGGTCGCCATATGGCGGCCCATAGATACGACATCCGTGCGATACTTTCGAGTGGAGCCGGGCAAGGTTTTCCCGCTGCACTTAGCCATCGAGAAGTAGGTTGCCTGGGATGCTCTTTGATTGTTTTTCAAAAGGCATATTTGCAGTGTGGTCAAGGAATGGGGATGAGGTCCAACCAGACAAAAAGAACTCAAAGTAATGGGACAAATATACATGCTATTTTTTCAAATATTCCAAAAACCAATCCCGAAAACTTTGAATTTTAAGATTTGCTTATAGATCTTGTGTGGATTCTTTTTCTAAAAAATAAATTCTATTTAAATGACGTTTAAGAAACAAACTTTTTGAGAAGTATAATAAATTTTAAGATCTTATTTTTGCATAATTCAGTCTTGTATTAAACAAGACAACTTTAGAATTCCTAATCTTAAATCATTCTAATTTTAGACAACTACTTTCATCCTGGTTCATCCGGGGTATCCACTTGGTCTTTACCCAACTCGATGGTCTTGTCCTGCTGTTGTTTTCAGACATAAGCACATTTTGTGGTCGCTGTTTGTCGTGGCTGCGTTGTTGGCTTTTATTGTCTTTCAGCGCTTGATTAGATAGCACACACTCGCAGCCTGGGATACTACGGATACACACACACGAGTACGGCGAGATACAGATACGGATACGTATACGGGCCAGGCACGCAATGGCAGCCAGAAAATGGCCATATGTGGCCAAGTCGGCTCCCACTGCTCATTTTTCCGACTTTTGTTTGGACAGTGGTCGCTGGTCGCGTTCGACTTTGAGGCTTTTCCACCTCCTTCTGCCCTCCGCTGGGCTTTTGTCCAACCTGCAAGTCTGCACCTGCACCTACTACACCCACGAGCCCCCCTTCCCCACCTTCGTGTCTAGTGCTTATCGCGCTTTTGATATCGAAACAAAAAAAAAGAAAGAAAAAGGGGGAAAATGCATGCCTAACGTGTGTCCTTTTGCTTCGCCTATCTATGCAGATATCTTTCTCTGTCTCTGTGTGTGGGTGTGCAAGAGGTAAGGGGGACAGGGGGGCTCAGGCATTAAAAACATTTTCATTGTAATCAAGTGTACTTTCTTTTATTATTATTATTTTGCCTCTCTTTCCGGCACTAACGACGCAAATTACTCAAATGTATCTGGCAGATACTTTTTGTTTTCCGCCTCGATGTCGTTCGTGTATCTATCTGTCGCTACCCGTCTCTGTCTAGAGCAGCTCGTATATTATTTATTGATCGCGATAAGCGTCACGAAGCCAATTTCAAGCGTTAGCCAAATGATACTTGCCTCCACCCCCACCAGCCACCCCCCACTCACCAGCAATGTTCCTCCGGCTCTTAATCGTAAGTGCTTTTTGCACTCGCTTCCAACTATCCAACTAATTTGAGTACAGTCCCGGCAAAAGTTCATCAATTTCAGTATCAAGACCCAGTGATTTCCCCTAACATCCGCTTTGGTGCGTGGCAGTAACCCTCTTTCGGGGCATTATTAACGTTGCAATCAAAGGTACACCCGTCCAGCTGGCAGATGTCGGGAGTCGGGAGTCGTCTTCCCCGAATAAGTCACCCCCTCGAACGTCTTGAAGACGCTCTGGGAAACCAACTGTCGTCGATCGTCGGCCGTTACATTTTCTTAGGGTTCAGGGTTTCAAATGGGGTGTGGGCTATGGGTTTTGGGCTGTGTCCTCGGTCTGGCGTGTGCTGCTTGAGCACGGAGCGTAAACGGAGTCTCGAAGTCACCCAGTGGAACTTTAAGGCACTCGCATCACTCACACCATCTAGGTTTTTCCACCTTTTGGGCCGGCTGCCTTTGGCTTTTGTAACGTATATCTTAGCCTTATTTCAGAATAAGTTCAAGGAGTGGGAGTGGAAGTTTTTAGCCAGTTGAGGAGTTGGAGAAAAACTTTGTCACGCAATGCCGTTTGGCTCCAAATGCGACGCCTCCAAAGTCCCTTGAATAATTCAATTTTTCGTGTGTCCGGCGCGTAATGTGTCCATTTAGTCTGGGTCATTACGAGACGCACATGAGCAGGCATAAACACTTTCTTTCCATCCAACTTTCCACCCACCTGATAGAGAGGGGGAGGGAGATAGTTCCTTAACAAAACGCCTCCTCCGCGGAGACCAGCTGGGCTATTTTGTTGTAGGTTGATGGGTGGAGCCGGTGGTTGACTTATTTTTATGACAAATGCGAGATATGTTAATGCGATAGGCTGGCGGTTATTAAGGAAATTACCCACACATGGCAGAGTCCTGCCGGCGAGTCCTTGAGCCGCGTACAAATATTTGAAGTTTCAATTTCAGCGTGAGCGCTGGCATGAATAGTATACATACGGAGAAATGACTTCATGTCATGGCTTGAGATAATTAGAGGTTGTACACGGTACTACCTTTGCTTTTAGCCTATCTTGTGCTCTTTACTCATTTTTGCCAGAGGATCCAGCGAGGAGCGAGGGTTGCGAAGGTGGCTCTGATTGCATGTCCAGTGCCTTGGCACTTGGCA